GTGATTGCAAATTGCTGTGCAGTGTCCAAAAAGGATGGACATCAAAATGGTTAGGGGGTTGAATTTTTATTCAGACGCAGAGAGATTTTAGTCGCTGGGGTTATATTCCAATCACTACCGGAGAATCAGAGGAGATATGACTATAGTATAATAAATAATGCAAAACCCAAGCCATCGGCGTCGCTCATTGCTAAAATTATCACCCAACGTTCATATTAGAGGATATCCATTCAAACTAGTGGTCTCAAAATACCAATTGAAATGACGGCGTCAGTCATTCGCAGTCAGTGTGTTTGATCTGGAACTCTCTCCCACCTCAAGTTGTCTGTGCTACAAGCGTTGAGTCTTTCAAACTGAGACTTGATGAAGCATTAGTACAGCTTAAATTACAACATAACTGACGCTGCGTACAGCAGTGGAAGAAGCTCGTATAATTTGACATTTTACAAACTGCCTTTTTACCGTGAAAAGAACCAATGGGACGAGAATAGCACGAGCTTGTAATTTATTCCTATAATAAATCTTTCAGTCTTTGAATCAGTACTGTCGTGGATCAGAAAGGAAACAGTGCGTTCTAGAAAAGTGCGGGCAAAATCTGTCCCTGGCATCACATGGATCTTTTCATGGTTCGAATGATATCACTCCCAGATTTGGCTGAGCGAGATATCTCGCGGTTACCCAATCATGCAACCTGTGATGATCCAAACGTGTTGAAAACTTTTACATTTGGGGTTGAAGACTCCGTGTACACTTTCAGACTTAATGAGCTTGTCGACAAATTCAGGTAACCACTCCGACGTCTATCTAGAGAGGTTCTTTTTACCGATAAACTGCCCCTCACCGTGTCTATTTACTGCAGTGACCTCTCCAGGGGCAGATGTGGATAGAAGCACGAAGCCAGGAGGTGCCCAAGCAGCTGGCTCTGTGAGGCTGAGTTTCGTCTAACCTCTTTGACCCATTGACCTTTCAGGCATGATTGGATTGTGAAAAGCGATCCTGTATAGCTCGCAGGGTCATGGAGGCATGCAAGCCATCACACTACGTCAAGGTGCAGTCTCGTCGTGGCGGCAATCGGTTCGTGGTTCATCTGAATGTACTCCCCAAGCGTGTGTGACGGTTTGCATTTACTCGTATTGGTTTTTCTATCCCTGAGTATTTTTCCCGACCTAACAGAAAGAATTCACATCCATTTCCCCTCTCCTTATTTCTTCCCCTAAGGCGGTATTCTGCACGGTTGTTTCGAAACGGTACGCAGGCATTTCGGTACATGTGACCGATTCACCACCCGTCCACTACTTGATACGGACCACCGTTTGCTTGTGTCTCAGCCTCCTACTCGTTCCAAATAAAGATTTCTCCTTGCGTGAACCACCACTCACCGAGATAGCATCATCACGCCTTATCTTGCTGGTATTGGTTTTAGGCAATCCGATATCTATAATAATGGATTTGATAGATTACCTACAGTGTTGCCGCCTTTATAACGTGTGCGATCTTAAGTTCAGCTCTTACTTGTTTTCTCATCTGTACTTGGTCGAAAATGTACCTTATTGAGTGCATACTGCCTAGTTTGAATTTGAACTGACCGGGAAAACAAGCCCAGCAGATGGTGTTACAAACCCGGGATATACACCAGTGTGAAGAGCCCATCGTGAATTGAAATTGACCCCTATACGTTTCGTTCTCTTCATTCAACCACACGCACACACCCGATTTAATAAAGAACAACACCATCAGGCATGACTTGTCCATGATCGAAACCGTTTCTTTATCGACGTTTACTCGGTGTCTGTACATCGATCGCTTACGACCCTATTACACTTTGTGGTGTTTGCCCTTGCGAATATTAAGAGAGGCTTAACCAATTAGTAGAAATGATACGAAATAGATTGCGTTATTCAGGTCTTTTGCAACTATCTTGAAATGATCATAGCCCCAACGTGGTTGCACAAGTGTTGGTGCAACGAACTGGGTCAAGATAGATCAACTGAGTGTCCAAACTGCTTCTGGAGACATAGGGAGTGCATCTTAGGTCCACGGCATCAGCCACGGATATACTTGATTATTTATCCCGAGCTTTGTGAAGGCGACGAATTCAGTGTTTCACTAATGAGAACCGACTGGCTGTTTGTAGAAATAATGCGTTCAAGGATTTGCCTGAACACCACTGTCTACGGAACATTGCACGAGTCTGGTGGGGCAGTCGGAAGAGCTTTGCTGAGGTTAGGTACAGAGTTTTAGGCAATCGCGATCGCCCACTGAATCAAGTGATCGACCTCCATAGATTACGGTGTTTGAAACACGTGTTACGCATGTCACTGAATAGGTTGCCACAGCGAGCGATGTTCACCGAGGCAGGTATTGGGTGGAATAAAGTCAAGGGTGGTCAACCTAAAACCTGACAAGAGGGTATGAAATCCCTAATCAGGGTACTGGGTCGCATGAGCACCGTTAGGCTATCTGGATGGGGATCTCGGGATGATCGTAACCGATGGTTAGAGACGCTGAGTATCGTAAACAGTGGCGTTCGTGCATCTTCTCAATTCCTTTGCAACCATAGACCACTGAAATTCTCCATTTTCTATTCGACTTTACTTTCAACATTCCCGTCTTTCTCCTATTCTTCATCCGAATGAGCAGCCAAAAGACAGCAACCGAAACCGGCGCACGAAAGTGCATGGTTAATGGTTGTGCAAACTGAAACGAACTGATTAGTCGTGTTGCACAAACCGACTTCCTGTTACCTAACGATAAAACCATGTATCAAAAGGTTACTTAAAATATATTTTTAAACTTGCCAAGAACCTTTCTGATTGAGTTGAAAAAATAATGTGTACAACTCATTGATTAACGCATGCTGATGGATTCCTGCTATTTTTCCGTGCATTGGTTCGCTGTCAAGACCGAATATCGCTTGGATAGTTGGTGGTTATAGAATGGATTGTTTGTTGTTTGTCAGATTCAGCTAAAAGCTTCCGACCTTGAGAAATCGGTCTAACTGATTTGACAAAGGTCGTTCAGGAAGGCTGAAATGTTGCGACAGCATTCCTGAATCCTGAAATTTTCATGATGTCTAAATCAATGATTGGTTCATAATCGATTTTATGATTTTATTAATCTAAGACAGACTGGTTTGAATAAGCGACTTCAATGGGAGGAAATGTTCCAACCCTTAGGGATGTGAAGCAACACACCTTCAAAGAGGCAATTATGTGAACATGCTTTAACTGTAACAAACCTATCGACCGCGGAATCTCATCAGCTGATCGGTATCGGAACATATACGTTGTACCTGCTCGGAATACACGCCGCATATACGCATCACGTGTC